TACTTCTTTCCTTTCGAATGAGTGTTTTGTGTTCTTGGGGTAGATTCTTAGGAGTGGAATTGCTGGGTCATAGGGTAGAGCCATTCTCAGTCTTCTGTGATATCTCCACATTGCTTTCCACAGGGCATGAACGAGTCTTTATTCCTGCACAGTGTAAGAGGGTTCCTTTCTCTCCACACCCCTACCGGCATTTGTTGTGTCTGGCTAGAAATTTCTGTTTCAGACCAAACTTGATCTTGTAGTTTTAAAAATACATATTTCATACAATGCTGGGCCTTCTGCCCAAAATTTGTTCCATGCTATGCCTGCAGCACCCTTTCAGGAATTAACTAACGTGAAAATGAAATGAGAGGAGATGAGCAAATTCAAGAAAGACAGAATCCATTCATACTTTTAAATCAGTAGCATGGCCATTTGCCTTTTGCAGGGTGGAACACTTCATACATTTTTAACAACCACCAGTGTCTTCTATGTCCCGGGAGTCTACCGAGTCTTCCCTATTTCTTAATTACCACGCCTGGGGGCGGGCCTCCTCGCTTTCACCTTTCTCCAGTTGAGCCCAAGGTTGTCTTCGGATTTCCTCTGGAAACTACCCTCCGTTAACACACAGGGTTGGGGGGGGGGGGTGAGTGGAAGGACAAGGTGTTAACTCAGACGTTAGGAAACTGATCGTGTTGTTATTTTCGTCACTCACTTGTGTATGTTTACACTTGGTCGTTTTATAAATAAGCCCAAGGGGCTCCTCCTGGCGGTCACCATCCTCATGAACCCCATGTCCTGACTGTCTCCTCCTATCCGACAGTAGAATTGATGCGGCTCAAACCCTTGGAAGTTTGCAACTAATGAACTGATGGCTGAGCTGCCGCCACGGAGCTTGGTCCCAAACTATACTGTACTTCACACCCGATTTATTCTCCAGATGGCGAGACTGTGCCGCCCCGCTGCGAGAGACCACCTCTTCCGCTGGAGTGTAAAAGTGGACGGATGTTGTTTTCTTTGCAGATTTGATCATTCGGAGCTAGAAACTTGTGAGGATGATTAGTTATTAGCTTTACTGGGTGCCAATTGAACCAACTGCACGCAGATTTTCTCCTTTAATTTCGGAGTCTGCAGGTTTTGGCGTCGGTTGATTTCTCTGCTGTCTGATGTCACTGGAGCGTGGCTCTTCCCAGGTGACAAGAGCCCGGTGTCGGAAATCATAACAAGCCTGTCCCTGGCACAGCCCAGGTCCCATCACACGGCGCCTTCGCTATAAGGACAAGTTCATTAGCTGCAGCTCTGAGGCCCGGAGCACCAGCTGTCGATGGCGGCACCACTTTAGTGACCTCTGACCATTCTGGTCCTGCCCCTTTTCACCGAGACCTTTATAGAGGCCACCTCCAGAATCGGCCCTGCTGCAGAACCCCCTTGGGGACGAGGCGAGATCACTCTGTTCACGAGGCCTTAGCTCCACAACTTCATCTCCACCAGCTTGTCCCATCTTACAGGGACAAGCCCACCCCACATTGAGAAATGGTCCCCAAGGCCATCTTGGAGTGTTCACACATTTAGAATGCAGTCCTTTTAGCTCTCCCTTTGAAGAACAACATGTTTTGCTACCAAAAATAGAAAATCTCTCTCTCTCTCCCACTCCTCATCCCTTCAGCCAGCGAAGAAAAGGTCTTTTTAGCCTACCTCTTTGCTTCATTTTCTTCTCCTTTCTCCAGGGAGTGTACTTACCCCCCAGTCATCTCAGCACATGCCCAGATAGCTCTTTGGAGAAGACCGTGTGGGCCAGGCCTCAGACAAGACAGACGCTGGAAGGAGAGCAGAGCCAGACAGAGCCCAGGGAAAAGGTGTGAAAGCAAAGGGAAGTGAAAGCAGCGCATGATGGGGAGGGTGCTGTCCCAGAGAGGTGGGGCCACGCGCCAGGGGCCTCAAAGGAGGGAGACGAAAGGGAGATAGGCGGGACCGTGAGTGGGATTCCTTTCTTCCCACAGCCGGTGGGCTGAGCCACTGTCTAACACGACGCCCAGAATTAACTTGATTGTTCTTAGAAACTGGCTGCCATCACCCACTGATGGCAAGTGTTTGCTAGCAAAGAAACATAGTTCACCATTAAAATACCAAGGGGGGGGGCACCTCCCTGGTGACACAGAGGTTAAAGTCTCAGCACTATCAAGATACCCACAGCCTTGGTGGCCTGAGTTCGATCCCCGGCCAGGGAGTGACCTACAGGGCACAGCAGACCTCTCCTGTCTCCCCACAGCTCCCCTCAGCAGTGTATTTCAGTGGATCTGCCTGTTCTTCTCCCCGCTCTGTCTCTGGTGAATTCTCTAACCCATCCAATGCCCCCCACTACCACCACCCCTGTCCCCCCGCACCCTTGGCCTACACCTCAGCTCTTGTGTGCATGAATAAATGAAAATAAATCTTTTTTATAAAGATTTATTTATTATTCATGCAGAACTGGGGTACAGGCCAGAGATTCGGAGGGCAAGAGGCTTCACCAGAGACACAGTGGGGAGCAGAACAGGCAGATCGACGAAGTACACTGCTGAGGGGAGCAGTGGGCAGGTCAGGAGAGGTCTGCCGCGCCATGTGGTCACCTCCGGGACAGGCGGGGATCGAACTCATGCGGAAGCGGCTTAAGCTTCTTAGTGCTGTGCTTTAACCCGCTGCGCCACCAGGGAGGGCCTGAAAATAAATCTTAAAACAATAAACTAAAATATCACAGGAGAAAAATCAGCATGCCTGTCAGGGTGTAGACTGAGTGAAGCTGGTATTTTGGAATTCCTGGTGGAGGGACACGCACATAGTCTATGTCAATTGCAACAAGCCGCAGCCCACTAATGAAGCGTTGTGTAGCCATAGACCTCAAAGCCATCCTTTTTATTTGGGAAAGGTGCAGGATGATGAAATGGAAAGAGCTTGGTTTTTTCATTCGGAGCCAAAGTGGAAAAAAAAAAAGCCCAATAAAATGCTGAGTATTCTCTGCTTATTATTATAACCTGAAAGGTACTAATCAGATTATGCCTGAAAATTGGAATTAGGCACTTCATTTGCAGCCAATTTCACAAGGGTTGAATTTTACTAAGTAAATCGGAATGTGCTGAAACCATGGCAATCTGACTTGTGATAAAAATCACAAACAGGTTTAGCACATGGGCTTTGAACAAACAGTCCCCTGCAAACCCAGTGAAGCAAAAAAGCAGCTTAGAGATCAGATTTTGTTGGGCACCTACAGTGGCAGCCAGGGAAGCTGATCTCGCCAGGGGTCCAGCATCCGGCGCGTGCAGGTGAAGTGGCGAGTGGGGATAAAGCGCCCAGCAATTCCATTGCAAAAGACACTTTGGCCTAAACGATCTAGTTTGCTCCCCTCCATTTTCCATTCACTCTGGGCCAACAATGGCCCTTGGCAAGCCAGAGCCATCCCAGATGGGTCACTGTTCAGGCGACTAGGTACTGGGGCCACGTTTCCAAGAGGAAGCAGCCTTCTCCCCACAACCAGAGTCCTGAGTGAGCTCATGCCTGCAGCTCACCTTGGTTGGGGTGTTCACACGTAGCGGGGGGGAGGGCAAGAGCACCAGGTAAGAACATGCTGGTGAGCCTGAAATCTGGGGAGTCGCCACGGGCAACCAGGCACCCTGACAGCCTGGCTGTAGCAGGCCTGAGTGCACTCTCGCTGTTGCGCAGGTCTGGCCCAGTTCTCAGACCCCCGGCTCGGTAAGTCAGGACTCGCGATAGGCCTGAATGGGTCCTGTGCTGGCCCCAGGCCTCCTGTCAGCTCTCGGCCTCTGGGCCTTCGCCCGCTTGAGCTCCCTGCAGGCCTCGCTGCTTCCACCCGCTCAGACCCGGGCTGGTTGAATCTACTGTCATTGCACTCGGGCCCGCCCCTGGCCCAAACAATTCCTTTTTGTCACCACTCCGGTTTGCTGTTTTCCCCGATAAATATTGCAGTTCAAATCGCTCTACATTGTCAAGACTTTTTTTTTCTTTTTAAACCACATTCATCAGCAATGAGGAGCTTTAAAGTTTTATTAGGATCATAAACTCCCTTCCCAAATGAAACCGCTTTTGATACGTGTTCATTCTGACAATGAGAATTTGTTGAGGGCTGTTGGCAAGTTGGAGGAATTTGTTTTTGAAACTGAAGTTGGCAGGAAGTAATGACCCCGAGTGCTTTCTTTCTCTTGGCGCCATCCCCCACCCCCTCAATGGACTCCTTTCTCTCCCCGCCCCCCTCCACAACCCTGTTACCCCCAACTCAGAGCCAATAAATAACGAGTTTGGTTTAATACCATTTTTCTGGGGACAATTCAAATACTGAAGCGGGCATGCAATCTTTCAGCTGTACTGTGGAGCAAAGAACGGTGAAATCTAAGACAAATCTGTATTTTCTATCACTTCACAAAGGCGTTTCTTGGTGATATTTTTGCCTACTGAATAATTTGGCGCTTTTTTGTAAGGTGGAACGTCATTTCCCTGAGGGCCTTCCTAATTGAATATTAAAATTCAACTCCATTGCAAAAAATTTTTTTTAATGTTTTTATTTAAAAAAATTAAAAATTAAAAGAGAGAGAGAAAAACGCATGAAACCATGTGAGAAAAGAAAAACAAATCCTTATTTCCCCCCCAATGTGAATTTGCTGACAGACGAGGTCACCATGATCCATATGTTAGCCAGTTTCTGATATTCATTAAATGAATAAGTGCAGACTGAGGACTGAGAACCTCAGTGGCACTTAATACATGCTCAATAAAGTCTCCTATTAATGATTTTTCCTTTCCAGTTGGAAAGTAGGTCTAATGAGCAAGAAGTGGCCGTCACCCACGTTCTAGTCTCCTTCAGTGAATCCTGACGCCTCTTGCCTTGCGGACTGGCGGCCATTTACTCACTGGATGGAAAATTTGCAGATTTAATGGCGCCCAGACTCTGAACCCACATTCCCCGACTGTTCAATTGTGTTTGCTCTCGGTTACCCATAAACTGAGCAGATATATTTTCCCACCACTTCCAGAGTGAAGCTCGACTGAGAATAGTAAAAACTCTTGAAGAGTTTGACCTGGGCCCAACAGAAAAGTGTGTGCGTATCAACTCCGTGTCCAGCGGCCTGGCCGAGGATGACCTGGAGGCCCTTCTGCAGTCTCGGGTCCTTCCTTCCAGCCTGATGCTGCCCAAGGTGGAGACCCCTGAAGACATCCAGTGGGTGAGTAGCTCACGCTCTGCTTTACCCCAAGGCTCAGGAGGTGCAGCAGAAAGGAAGGCTCTGGGTGCTGCAGGATTTGGGGCGGTGCCCAGAGCGGACAGAGGCGTGGAGACCACTGCCTGCACCCAGCGCGTCCTCAGGGCCAGCTCTGCCTTCAAAATGATGCTTCTGCTCTCAGGAGAGTTGTGGCCTGGATCTTGGGGTTCAAATAGCCCCCACAGAACCATGCCTGAAAAATGGGCCAGCCTTGATGACCTGTGTCCCCTGGGGCTTCCCCAGGAGGGGCATTGGCGTCCTGACTCGCCCAGATTCCCTGGAAATCATCCTAGACAGTGAAAGCACGTTGGCTGCCAATGAAACAACGCAGCTAGAGACGAAGAGGGAAAGGTCACTCGTTAGGGCAACCAGAGGAACCAACAGGAAGCTTTTAACTAGTGGTTTTAATTAGCACAGATATTATTTCCTGAGCAGGTCTCTCGCCCGTCTTTTTTAAATTGCTGACAGGTGTGTTTGTGTTTCAAGGGCAACTTTCCAGCCCGTTAAAAGCTGACATGTAAAGTGGTTGGCGTGGCACATGACTTAAGAAAACTTTGAAATGCGTCTAATTATGCATTATAATTCTGAATTGTTTGCGTTGTTAAAGGGAAGGAAGGTGGGCGCGAGGTTTAATTCTGCACTTGCCAAGATCCTCAGGTCTCCGCTGCATAGTCACCGCCGCCGGGCAGAGGAGCTGTGAGCGCCTGGCCGGGTGTGGACAGCCACAGCAGTACTGGTCATCCCCGAGGGCGCGGCTCCCCGCTCGGTGCAGGTAGATGGACCCATCTGTGCCGTGGCCGGCCACACGTGGCTGCTGAGCACAGGAAACGTGGCACAGGAAACGTCCAAATTGAGATGTGCCAGGCGTTCACAGCCCAGGGTTGTGAAGACCCAGTAGCCCTCCACTTTCAGCCCAACCCCGCCCCCCAAGGATATAAATCACCTCAATATTTTTTTAGGGTGATTACATGCTGAAATGCTAATATTTCAGCTAGAGGGGATCGCGTAAGCATAAGATGCAAATTAAAGCCACCCATTTCCTTTGACCCCTCTGTTGTGGCCACTAGGAAAAGGGGGGCTCCCAGAGGCCATCTGCTCCTCTCCCGCCGGACAGCACGGAGCTGGCGGCCTCTGGGAGACCCCGGCGGCCGGGCCCTTTACTTACTAAGCTGGAGATGGGTCCGGGGCACCCCCCGGGCGCCGGGAGAGGCTGGTGACAGGAGCTTCCTCGCGGCCCGGCTCCCACCCCCTCGGAATGTGTCTCAAGTTGATTGAAATAGAACCCGCAGTCGCTGTTCCCCTTTGGTTTCTTAGTTCATGCCTATTTATTCCCGCCAGCACCCTTCATGCAGCCGGGAGGCCCCACCCCAGCCTTGAGCCCGGCGTCTGTTCGCGGTTTTAAATCCTTGGATGCGAGGAGCGTCCTGCCACCTAAATAGGATTTCTAGTTAACAGAAGTCTTTCGGGCTGTTTATTTTTTCCTCTCCGTTTGTATTTATGTGAAGCATAAAACCCAGAGCCTGCCGCACTACTGAAAGATGGGCTTCCTTGTTTTCTTTTGTGTGAGAATCTCTCGCTGGCCTTTTGTCACTGGTGTGGGTTCTTGTTTGACTGGCACGGCTTTATTGGACTATAACAAGCGTGACTCTGCCTCCTTTGTCGCGGGACAATTCTCCCACAAATCCCGAACCGCGCGTATTCTTCCCGCACGCTATTGGGTGTGCACTGGCATTGAAAGAATCGCTGAGCCCTGCTACTTGACGTACTCCCCAATCTCTTTGTGATGTTTCCCCCCTTCTTTTCCTCTCC